CTCCTTGGGAAGTTAGAACCGTGAAGAAAAAATAATTGTATTTATCTAGATTTCTCATTTCATTAATTTAAAGCAGATTCATTTCATGGTTTTACCCACAATTCCTTAATTAAAAAAATGGCCTTATTGGATGGGGATTTACCATGTTTACGTATTGGTCCCGGTTATTCTTAGCCTGTAAAAATTCCAGCGTTTAAAATTATTAGTGCAAATAATTCATGTTGTGATATGAAGACTAATATTTCTTTTCTCAGCGGGTCTTGATTTTATGTTTAAAAGCGCCAAGTCTGCATAAACACGGATTATTATTCTTAAAAATAAGAAAGTAATGACTTATGTTTATGTTTTATCGCGAGTGCATATGGAAATTTGGTCAATTTCTTCAAGAGCATTGTCCTTCAAAGGGCGATCCTACGTGTACATACACACATACACATACAAACATACGGACAGACAGACACATTCTGATATTCCAACCAGATGAATCGAATGTAATTTTTTGAAGTGTACGCGTAAATATATACATAACTGAAATATTAAAATCATAAGCTGAAAAAATATTTCTAATATCGGTATGCATCTGCATATATAAAAGAATATGTATATATTTATGTATAAACATGCATATATATATATATATATATATATATATATATATATATATATATATCTTTTCTTTTTTAGCTTTCGCATTTAAATTCTATTTCCCGCCCCTCCTTCATTGTATAGACACGAATTCAGTCCACACTGGGGTTGATAAGACAGCCGACCGATATCTTCGTCTGCCGAAATAGACTATTCCCCACATGAGGTAATTTTGGATTTTATTGTTTATTAATTATATGGCTCAGTATTAATAAATACATTGAGTACTTTTTGTAGATCAGTTTCAATATTTTATATTACTAGGATCCACTTGGATTATATACCAACGGATTTGGTACCTTATATATATATATATATATATATATATATATATATATATATATAAAGGTAGCAAATATATATATTTCTTACCTTTACTATATATAATGGACTCTCCCGTCGATTCCGATGTATGAGGATCTGACAACTTAGTTGATTCAGTTATGAAATTTTTTGTGCGATAATCTTAAGTGGCATTTAAGACCCTCTAGTGATTTACAAAGGAGGCCACATATGGAGAAAGTGTGAGGATTGTGAAATGAGATCACTCTTAGATTGGCTGATCTTTTAGATCTTGCTCTCGCTCTTGAAGATGAAAACTGCTGGGTCCACTAAAACGCGTTGATCTCCATTCTACCCGCTCCAAGGCTAAGTGCTCAATGGTGTTATGTGGTATATTGACTGCTGACAATTTGCTTTTCAGAAACTATATATATATATAGTAAAGGTAACAAATCCGTTGGTATATAATCCAAGTGGATCCTAGTAATATAGAATATTAAAAATGATCCACATAAAGAATCCATATATATATATATATATATATATATATATATATATATATATATATATATATATAGTGAATATACATAATCTCAACGTCAAGTCGTGCTATCGACTTTGGATATTATGTATATTCACTAATATATAGTTATAGCTCTGTCTCATAACATTGAGCATTGTATTTATATACTTATATGTACGTAAAGTTTTTCGTTCGTATATATATATATATATATATATATATATATATATATATATATATATATATATATATATATATATATTTTCGTATATATATATATATATATATTTCGTTTATATATATATATTTCGTATATATATATATATATATATATATATATATATATTTCGTATATATATATATTTCGTATATATATATATATATATATAATCGCCTGATTAGATGCCATCATGCCATCATGTATGTATGTTTAGGGAAATTTATCACGGACGAGCCACCAAAAACCGGATGTCATTGCACTACAAAAAGTTCCGCACAACGATGAAGCCTCCTAAATAACCATCTAATCCAATTATTTACGGGGAAAAAGTAAAGCATTTACGCCTATGTATACAGTCAGTTTCCCTCGCAGATGTTGGGGCGAGTGAGACGATATTTTGTTCGTTTATATCTCCCCTCATAGACAGAAGAATCATATCCCACAGATAAAAGTTGTAGTCGTAATAAATAATATATATATATATATATATATATATATATATATATATATATATATATATATATAAATAAAAGAAAGAACAGTAAGATATATAATCCGGTGTTCTTATAGATATTTTTTATTTTTGAAGCATGGTTAGAACTGTGTAGCGAAAAAACCATATTTTAAATCAATTAATTTACAATATATATATATAGATATATATGAATTTAAGTGCTCTATTACATCGACGGCAAGGTCTCATCATCTCAGTTGAAATGGCTAGATATATGTTCTATACTGACAGTTTCTTCTCTCGCACTTTTTCCTTGTGTAATTCTCTTACATCTTCTTCCTTCACATTCAACTTTGATCTTCAAAAATTTAAATGCAATGTCAATCGTTATCTTCTGTTCTATTATTATATTTGTAAATATGAAAGTAGACATTGATGTCAACATCCAGCGGCGACAGTCTGTTTCATACTTAAATGCAATCGAGGCCTGACGATTGCGTTTAATGTTTAACCAGGAAAAAGACTGTCGCCGCTGTGTGTTGGCCTCAGCCTTATATATATATATATATATATATATATATATATATATATATATTACGGCGTAACAATAATGCCAATAACTCTCTGTCACTGAAACAGACAAGACGATATGCGTCTAATGAATGTCATCATTCGCTTTAAAATAAAAACCCCGACCCAACCTTGACATGACCTCTTTCCGAAAGTAACTAATATGTTCATACAATATGTTAACCCTTACGCCCCTTATTGAAATAATTGCTTCAGCCGTTTCCATAGTAATTAATATTACGAATGAATATGCTTATAAAGCTGCGTAAATTTCAAGATTAATTATTCCAAAAATTTTGCTTGAAGAAGAAGCAGAGTTTGATACTTTAATTCAATTTAATTTTTATAATTAAATTTAAGTTTTTGGCTCCTGTTTTTGAAACATGAGAACTCTTATGTAGCGATGGAATCATATTTTTTTAAAAATAATTATAATTTAGGCTCTACTTATGTATTGAGCACTGTTTTTTTTAAAAATAAAAACAAAAATACTGAAGAACTTCGGATTATTAACCGAACGGTTCTTTCCTATTTTTCTATATATTTGCACACATATAATTATATTATATACATATATATATATAAGAAAATAATAATAATAATAGCACTTAATAGGCGTAAAATTATATAATAATTTATTGTATATCAAACTAACAAGAATTTTTGCTAAGAAATTGATTTATATTAGACTAGGGTGATAATTATTAACAAATTAGATATAATAACGTTTAAATCTTATTGAATGCCGACTCAGATTGTTGTAATTTTTTCAATCACTTATTGGGTTTCGCTTGTAGTTGTAAAATTACGAATCTCCCAGGAGGTCTTCGATAACTATTGAACGTTGTTATATCTAATTTAATAATAATAATAATAATAATAATAATAATAATGCCTCCTTATTGATATGGCAGTCCCTGCTGACTGCAATGTATCTTTGAAGATATTCAAAAAGCTGTCAAAATACAAGGACCTTGAAATAGAAATTTCGAAAATGTAGCATATGGGAACATCAACAATCCCTGTTGTAGCTGGAGCCCTAGGACTGGTTGGAAAAGATTGCAGTAGACTAATTGAAGGGATTCCTGGAAGTCCATGCCTCAAGGAGATACAAAAAAATTGTTCTGACAAGTACAGCCCACACTTTACGAAGGGCTTTATCTATGTAATTTCTTTTCTTTTTTCTTTTTTCTTTTTTTTCTTTTTTTTTTTGTCAGTGGAAAGTGTCATGCTGCCATTTCTAACCTTAGGTCTCTGGGCGGGACCCGGAAAGAAATGTGTAAACTGTACTTTCAGCTTTCTGAAGCCATTATCGAACAGCTGGATAATTTCCGCTCCCATCATGCCCATGCTACCCAACATGCAAGATGTTCAACAGCTACTCTGCCCAGCACGATTTCTAGACATGTTCACCATTGAACATGTATTGAACACGATTTGACAATACCTCATTCGTTCGTTTACATTTCACTTACATTTCCTAGTCAGTTGCATCAACAAGTGCAGTTTTGGAATAAAAATATCACACGATAGTATTCGCTATTTCTATATTCGTATGCATGCGAGAGTATGTTAACGCACAAGTGGGAAATATAGTGTGTTAATATGAGTTCGAGGGTATTGTTCATAAGACACTTATTATGGGCCCTTTACGCGTATTGATCTGATACTTTACTGTACATTAAATCTTGAGTAAATTGAAACATATTCAGGGTTTTGCAAATTTATTTTCCATCAGTGTGTATGTTATGGCAAGGTAATTGCTAAGGTAGTGAGTTCGATCTTTTCTGAATACTTCACTAATGTTCACAAAACTAACGTGTATAAGTGCCTTCCAGAGATGAAAATAACTTTCACCTAAATATAGGTTCTAACCAGATTCAGCTGAGCCATATGAATATTTGCATATTTATGCATTTGTCTTGGTTAAAAAAAAAAAATTTATTTCATCAGACACTTTAGTAAAAAATTTATAATATTTTATAATTCTACTTGTCCCTTATTGTCTTAATTAATTAGTACGTACGTAATGCCCTACCAATACCGCATAAATAATGGACTAGTCCGTTTTGATCGCGAGGCATGACGGAAAATACATAACAAACATGCTAATCTAATATGTCATTATAAAAAAAAGACAATATTTTATGTGATGCAAGTTAACCAATTAATGCCCACAGTAAAATCCGGAATTCATTATAAAAGAATTAAAGAAAATAAAAATAGAATATTAATTATAAAATATAAAGAATAAAATTGAGTAAAAATGTCCAGTATTAATTGATGCTTTACAAAAATTCGAAAAC